ATCAGAATTGTCCATATCATATCATTGTATACCTAGTTGACTTGATAATGGTTTAGATTGCTCCTAAATACGAGATTAACACATCTTAACCAAATGGTAAGTACAAGAACTTCAATTTCATAGTAACAGATCTAACTCGTACACAGATTTATTGTTAACTATACATTGAGCGAATCGTAACAGTCCAGGATTATGATTTTATCTCTATGCACCGACAGTGGGTGTCTTTTGATATAATCACTATCAGTACATACTGTATAACACATTCAGAACCTATAAACATCAGTCATTGTACTTTACAGAAACCAATTTTACCTTTTAACATTTTAATGCTTTACTGATATTCCATGACTATATGCATTTTGATAGTACTTTCATTTCACATGTACATTGTATAATGACCACCATTTTGAATTCTCAAAAGGAAAAACACTGAATTCACTCAAGGATAAATCTTGAAGAATATATATTGTTAATGGTTAAAATCAACATACACTAGTCAAATCTTGTATCTTGTCATCAAATCCTGATTTGTTTTCATGAACTAACTTCGAATATTTTGATTTGTGCTTTTTTGAAATATAAGTTTCAGAATGGAATATTTAATGTTTGCAGGATAAATGAAGTTGTCAGTATGCATGTGCTTCATGTAAGTTTAAATTCATTTCAAATATAACAAGTAGACCAAGGGCCTTAGCGGTCACCTGAGTTATATCATAGGAACTGGTAGCTTTATTTTATTGTTTAGATGTGATGTGGAAATCAGCATGTAAACTAAGTGAAATACAATACTTGTCATGTCATCAAAGGATAAGAATTTTAAAGTATTTGTAAATGTTCCCTTTGGGGACCCGCTCTAACCCCTCGGGATGGGGCAGGAATTCCAAGTTTACAATGTGATACCGTCATCCACCAAAGATGATTCTGACCAAGTAAAAATAATTTCCAACAGAAAATTGTCAAAATATACCCAAAAGTGTTGTTTCCCTATATAAGCTATAGTAAATTTACCCCCTCCCCAGGAGAGAACGGATAGCTCGGGGGTCCTGAAATTTACAATTTAAATAAAGCCCCTGATGATCTTTCCATCCATGCAAAGAAAAGGACTGTAGTATAGGATTCTGAGTCTGGGGAAGAAGATTTTTGAAATATTGGTTAAATTTCCTTTTGGGGCCCCGCCCTGGCCCCTAGGGTCGGGGTAGGAATCTCAATTTTACAATTTAAAATCATCTTCCTCCTCCAAGGATAATTCTCACCAAGTAAGAATAATTTCCAATAGAAAATTGTCAAAATATACCCAAAAGTGTTGTTTCGCTATATAAACTATACCCTCCCCAAGGGAGAACGGATAGCTCGGGGGTCCTGAAATTTACAATCTAAATAAAGCCCCTGATGATCTTTCCATCCATGCAGAAAAAATGACTGTAATACCTCTGAGTCTGGAGAAGAAGATTTTTGAAATATTGGTTAATTTTCCCGTTTGGGCCCCGCCCTGGCCCCTAGGGTTGGGCTAGGAATCCCAATTTTACAATTTGATAGCCTCATCTACCAAGGATGATTCTGACCAAGTGTGAAAAATTTCCATCCACCGGTTCTTGAGAAGAAGTTGATAATGTAAAAAGTTTACGCACGACGCACGGCGGACGACGACGGACGGAAAGTGATTGGAATAGGTCACTTGAGCAAAGCTCAGGTGACCTAAAAAGAGGACATATATCTATTGGTAACAGAAAACCTCAATATTAAGGCAGATTTATGCAGCATTGGTTACTTTTTTTCCAAGTGTATATACAAGTCAAACATAGTGTAGAAGTCAATTATTTCCCCATCTGACAGTTTCCAGAGGGTAAAAATTGCCCCCAAATCCCCACCTGATAGTTTCTACAGGGTAAAAATTGGCTTATTGATTTTCTATCCCCAGACAGAGGAAGAAAATTAGCCGACACTTTGCTCCCCCCCCCCCCCCCCCCCCTTTTTTCCCGCCTTTTTGTATCCTTAGAGATGGTTTTTCTATTTGTTATGTAGTGAGGAAAGTATTACAGCTGGTTGCCCCATCCCTCCAACCCCTTACTCCCTTCCTCCATGCTTTATAGAGGAAACCATTGGATAGCTGATTCTTTCACCTGTTGTATTGGTTTTAGGGGAGGAAATATTAATCAGCTAGCCAATACGGCACAGAATCTGTAAATTATGGAAAATTGAGGCCAAAGACTCAAACCTCAACTGTTTTTTTCTAGGATTCAAAATATCAGATATCATTTATTTACCTTTATCAAAAAAAATGTTTAAACTAAATGTGTTTAACCCCACTTTTTGTTGTTTGTTTCAGTTGCAATAACTTAAAACAAAACATGGCACTTAAAAGAAGAAAACTTTCCAGAAAGAGATCTCTGAATGAACAATTTCGAATCCATCACAGGAAAAGGTACCATTCCTTCAAAAGAAAAAGAGGATCAAAGTTTTCATCACACAACGTTAAGCAGAACCACAATGGAAGTCTATCAGGACGCATTTCAAGGAAGTCACAACTACAGCTGAATTTGACAAACAAAGCTTGTGATACTGCTGATTGTGGTAAGAATGAGGCAATTAAACTTTGTATTCAATATGTTTTCCAACCAATGATTGAAGTCCTTCAGTTCACACCTGGTCCAATGACTTGTATGGACTGTCTACTTCACAAGTTCTGTGGAAGGATAAACAGGCAACAAGTTCTGCGTAAGCCTACTCGCCTGGTCTTTATCAGAAAATGTATCAAAAAAGCATTTGGAAACAACATCGCGACAACAGAAAAGTGCTTGGAATGTAGACTGAGGAGACAGAGTGACTTACAAACATCTGTCCAACCTTTAGTTGAAAGAGTGAAGGTTACCAACACCATACTTCGTTCTGTCTCTGAAATGAGCTTTGAGGACTGCTGTCCTACACCAACATCACATGGACAGAGTAATTGTGCTCAATTTGTGATTTATCGTCCTGAACATTTGAAATTGATCTACATCGACTTCTTTGCAAAGATATCAACTGCACTCGCTGTGCCTTGGATATCTCGAAAGATTTTTCTTTCCAAAATGATCATCCTGTCACAGATATCCAATTGTTCTGAATACTTAACCAGCTTTTTCTTGGATATGTACAACAGCACAAAAGACATGATTGGTGACCCTGAGATAAACCCATCCCTCAATCTTTCTCAAGGTCATCTGTACACCGACTACTCTGAGGGTAACCCTACTGTTGCCCCAACTAAGGAAAAACCTGAAGATAGATCTGAGAAACCTACTGTGGTCCCAATTACTATGGCAGAACCTGAAGGTCGATCTGAGAAACCTACTGTGGTCCCAACTAAGGAACAATCTGAAGGACGATCTGAGAAACCTACTGGGGTCCCAATTACTATGGCAGAACCTCAAGGTCGATCTGAGAAACCTGCTGTGGTCCCAACTATGGCAGACCCTGGAGGTCGATCTGAGAAACCTCCTGTGGTCCCAACTATGGCAGACCCTGGAGGTCGATCTGAGAAACCTACTGTGGCCCCAACTATGGCAGAACCTGGAGGTCGATCTGAGAAACCTACTGTGGTCCCAACTAAGGAACAATCTGAAGGTCGATCTGAGAAACCTACTGTGGTCCCAACTATGGAAGAACCTGAAGTTCTACCTCAGAAACTGTTTGTAGCCCAAACTGAAACAAAGGAAGAACCTAAAGTTCTACCTAAGTGTCCTATTGTGATCCCAACTAAGGAGGAACCTCAAGTTCTACCACAGAAACTTGCTGTGGTCCTAATGGAATCAGAACCAAAAAGTCTACCTGAAAAGCCTTCTTTGATTTTTACCAAGATAAAATATGCACTTATGCCAAAGAACCCTCCTTTGCTCATAGCTGAGACAGAACCTACAGTTGAACCTCAAAAACCTGCTCTAATTCTGAAAGAGACAGCGATTGTATTTTTGCCCAAGACACCTGCTGCTGTAATTCTTAAAGTAACTGTGGTCACAATTTTGTCCAAGACATCTACTCTAGTTCTAAAAGAGACAGTGATCACAGTCCTACCAAACACACCTGCTGTAGCCCTTACCAAGATAACAGTTGCAGTTTGCCCTGGTTCATCTGGTGTGGTCATTACCAACACTCTACCCGTTGTTCAGACGATTTCCTTTCAAACAGTCACTAAATCCTTACCCCTGGGTCTGCATGGCAAGAAATACAGAAATGATGGACAAAGCACTACCTCCAATCCTTGTAAACTGCATGGGTACAGCAAAAGAAAAGGTGAATTTGATTTCATGTTCGACATACATCTACAAAATCACACAGACATTGTGGTTTCACCAGTTACTCAAAGCTGTCCTCAGACTTCATCTTCTGTTCAAGCGAACACTCTAGATGAACAAGCACTCACTATGGACCAATCCAAACCCAACGTATCAGGTACAGTTGTCACAGTCAACCCAAAAGAAGAAAAGATGAAGATTGTGCATGAAGATCTGGCACAACAGAAGACAGTGTCATCTGAGACACAAGATGAGAGCAAATCTGATACAAATCTTCAAACATCTGCGCTTACTCTACCTTTTGTGGGTATGACTCCTACAGACAAACACAGAAAAAGTGAAAGCATGGAAACCTCACATACTGTACCTTTTGCTGACTGTGACAGAAATTTGCTGTTGAAACACAATGGTCTTTCATATCAAGTATCTGAACAAGAGAGCGGAATAGGTAATGACAAACAAAGTGAAGCAATCACTCAGCCAGCTGAGGACACACAACTCATTTCCCATCTTAATGGGATTTCTCAAAGTGAAAATCCAACAAACAAACCCAGTAAGCTATTGAAATCAACTACAAGGCTGAAGATGACTGAAGAATATGAAAACTCACAGACCTCTGGAGAATATTCATGTCAGGAATTGAAACATTCTGAAAGTCTGCCTAATGAAATGATTATTGAAAATAAATGTAACTTTTCAAAGGAACGTCCATTTGCTGAGAAAAGCCAACAAATCATCACCAGTGGCTGTCAAGGTAAAAAAGTCCTTACTTCAGGTGCCAATCAAAGTTTAGAGAATACAATGCTTACAGATGACTTTCAAAATTCTCCAAACTTTGACTGTTTTACCAGCAAAACTTCAGTTAACAAATTGTCCACTAATAACTCTAAACCTCGGTCCAACTTTACCAGTGGTGCCAGTCTCACTCAAACATTGCTTCCTGATGACAGTCCAAATCCTCCAAATGCTACCAATGATGCCAGTCAAAGTTCTGGACGCAAATTGCTTCCTATTGACTCTCAATGTCTTTCAAACCTAACCAGTGATACTGGTCAAAGTTCAGGACACATTCTGCCTTCTGATCAGCCTCCCGAAAGTCATCCACAACTTGCCAGTGATGCTGGTCAAAGTTCAGGACACATTCTGCCTTCTGATCAGCCTCCCGAAAGTCATCCACACCTAACCAGTGATACTGGTCAAAGTTCAGGACACATTCTGCCTTCTGATCAGCTTCCCGAAAGTCATCCACACCTTGCCAGTGATGCTGGTCCACAATCAGGCAGGAAATCACTTCCTGATGACACTCCAAACTTTACTAGGGATACCGGTCAAAATTCAGCAAACAATTTGCCTCTTGATGAATCTCAAAACCTTCTAAACCTAAGCAGTGATCAAAGTTCAGAAAACACAATGCCTGCTGATGACATTCAAAGACAGCTAAACCTAACCAGTGGTGTTGGACAAAGTTCAGAAAACATAGTGACTCCATTTGACCATCGATATCTTCAAACATTTACCAGTGATGCTGTTCAAATTTCATGGAGCAAAGTGCTTTCTTATGACTATAAAAGTCCTTCAGACATAACCAGTGATGCTGGTCAAAAGGCAAAGAACAAATTGCCTCCTGAAGACTCTCAAAGTCATTCAAACCCTACCAGTGGTCATGGCCAAGGTTCAGAAAACACCATGACTCCTGATGACTCTCAAAGTCCTTCAAGTCTTTACATTAATTGGGATCAAAGTTCTAAAGACAAATTGCCTCCAAAAGACTCTCAAAGTTATCCAAACTCTACCAGTGGTGTTGGACAAAGATCAGAAAACACAGAGACTTCTGATGCCTTTCAAAGCCCTCCAGACCTTACCAAAGATGCATGCCAGGATTTAGAGAGCACAAACCCAACCAGTGGTTCTGGTCTGACTTCAGAAAACACAATGACCCCTGATGACACTGTAAGTCCGCAAGATGTAACCAGTAATGCTGGTCAAAACTTAAAGACCAAATTGCATCCCAATGACTCTCAAAGTCCTCCTGATCAAATCAGGGATGCTGACCAGGGTTCAGAAAGCACAGTGACTGTTAATGACTCTCAAAGTCATTCAAACTTTACTATTGGTTCTGATCAGGCTTCAGAATTCACTGTGACACCTGATGACTCTCAAACTCATTCAAACCTTACCAGTGTTTCTTGCCAGAGTTCAGACACCACCATGATTCGAGATGACACTCAAAGCCCTCCAGACCTAACAAAAAATGCAGGCCAGGGTTCAGAATACAGAGTGACTCCTTTTGACTCTCAAAGTCATTCAAACCTTTCCATTGGTTCTGACCAGGCTTCCGAAAACACAGTGTTTGCTAATGCCCCTCAAAGCCCTCCAGACCTTACCAAAGATGTGGGCAAGGATTTAGAGAGCACATTGATTCCTGGTGACTCTCAAAGACATTCAAACCTTACCAGCGGTTGTGACCAGCGTTCAGAAAACACAATGCCTCCAGATTACTCTCAAAGTCCTCCAGACCTAAACAGTGAAGTTGGACAAAGTTCAGACAACAGAGTGAAACCTGATGACTCTCAAAGTCCTCCGAATCTTACAGTTGGTCTACAAAGACATGATATTTTACAGGCCGAAGAAACTTCCAAAAGACAGAATCCTTCAGATAGGCATGTTATCCTACAAATACAGCAGGAACAATGGCCAAGTTTGGAGAGCTTCTCAATAACCAACAATGATGAAACTGAAGGAATACAATTTAGAAGTGCTGACTCCGACATTGCTTTAGAAACACGTCCCAAAGAGATTTGGCAAGACAAAAATGAGGAATCAGTAGATCTACATCACAACGATCATGAATCAACACCATTTAGTTACAACACTGGTGCAACTAAAGTCTTCTCCTGTGATCCACTATCCAGTAATTTTGCACTTCTTGTAGGGGATCCAACACCAGACCATGAGGAAAATCAGGAGACACAACCAAAGAGTCCATTTGATCATCACCAACTGATGTTAGAAGACAACTTCACACACCATTTGTCATCAAATCAATGTGGAAATGAACAATGTCAAGGGAAGAATGAAGAAACACAGGAAGACACAAGTGTTCTCAGACAACAGGACGTTATAAGGGACCATCATGTTTTACCTCCTTCCTCAGGAGAGACGACGGTTCAACCAATAAACAATGCAAATGACCTTGGTGAACAAATTCCTCGTGTTGGTTCTAGAATGACAGCAGAACCAAACGCACTGGTTTCAACTGACCCAAACAGAGTGGATGATTTCCAATATTTAGGAAATGTGATGGAGGGACAAAATCTAATCAACCTTCAACCTTCACATCCCCTGGTAGAAGCTGCTCAACAGCAAGATACAAGATTTGACAACAGAGGTTAGTGTCAGTGAACCCACACATACACATAACAGGTTTTGTAATATATAATAGCATCACAATCAACGTATCATATAGGAAGTTTTTGGTGACTGAAGAAAATCATTTCAAAAGAAACAATAAATATTAATTAGAAAGTCACTGCCTTCCTATGCAGTTGCATAATGGTTTTCTAGGATCTTTAAATTATAAATTATTTGTCATTGCGTGACTTGTTAAATCATGCTGGTTGCAGTGTATTTGAATGCATAGAACATTTCTGATATTCTGCATAATCAGTTAAAATCAGATATCGATATTTGGTTCTTGACACTTCTGACATTTTTCAATGTTCACACAATTGATTCTTGAGAACCTCAGACAATGTGGATCCTTGATAATCTCATAGTGATAGATAATCTCATAATGTAGATCCTTGATAATCTCATAGTGATTGATAATCACATAATGTGGATCATTGATAATCTCATAGTGATTGATAATCTCATAATAATGTGGATCCTTGATAATCTCATAGTGATTGATAATCACATAATGTGGATCATTGATAATCTCATAGTGATAGATAATCTCATAATGTAGATCCTTGATAATCTCATAGTGATTGATAATCACATAATGTGGATCCTTGATAATCTCATAGTGATTGATAATCTCATAATGCGGATCCTTGATAATCTCATAGTGATTGATAATATCATAATGGGTGTCCTTGATAATCTCATAGTGATTGATAATCACATAATGTGGATCATTGATAGTCTCATAGTGATAGATAATCTCATAATGTGGATCCTTGATAATCTCATAGGGATTGATAATCACATAATGTGGATCCTTGATAATCTCATAGTGATGGATAATCTCATAATGTGGATCCTTGATAATCTCATAGTGATTGATAATATCATAATGTGGATCCTTGATAATCTCATAGTGATAGATAATCTCATAATGTAGATCCTTGATAATCTCATAGTGATTGATAATCACATAATGTGGATCATTGATAATCTCATAGTGATTGATAATCTCATAATGCGGATCCTTGATAATCTCATAGTGATTGATATTCTCATAATGTGGATCCTTGATAATCTCATAGTGAATGATAATCACATAATGTGGATCATTGATAATCTCATAGTGATAGATAATCTCATAATGTAGATCCTTGATAATCTCATAGTGATAGATAATCTCATAATGTAGATCCTTGATAATCTCATAGTGATTGATAATCACATAATGTGGATCATTGATAATCTCATAGTGATTGATAATCTCATAATGCGGATCCTTGATAATCTCATAGTGATTGATAATCTCATAATGCGGATCCTTGATAATCTCATAGTGATTGATAATATCATAATGTGGATCCTTGATAATCTCATAGTGAATGATAATCACATAATGTGGATCATTGATAATCTCATAGTGATTGATAATCTCATAATAATGTGGATCCTTGATAAGCTCATTGTGATTGATAATCTCATAATAATGTGGATCCTTGATAATCTCATAGTGATTGATAATATCATAATGGGTGTCCTTGATAATCTCATAGTGATTGATAATCACATAATGTGGATCATTGATAATCTCATAGTGATTGATAATCTCATAATGTGGATCCTTAATAATCTCATAGTGATTGATAATCTCATAATGTGGATCCTTAATAATCTCATAGTGATTGATAATCTCATAATGTGGATGCTTGATAATCTCATAGTGATTGATAATCTCATAATGCGGATCCTTGATAATCTCATAGTGATTGATAATATCATAATGTGGATCCTTGATAATCTCATAGTGATTGATAATCTCATAATAATGTGGATCCTTGATAATCTCATTGTGATTGATAATCTCATAATAATGTGGATCCTTGATAATCTCATAGTGATTGATAATCTCATAATGTGGATGCGTGATAATCTCATAGTGATTGATAATATCACATATTGTGGATCCTTGATAATCTCATAATGCGGATCCTTGATAATCTCATAACGATAAATCATCTTATGTTGAAGATCCTGGATAATCTCATAATGTAGATCTTTGATAATCTGGATAATCTCATAAAGTAGACAAAAACCAGTATTCAGCTTGTAGACACATGTCATGTCTTTGTCTTTCTAAGGCTCAACACATTTAGTGACAGTGACGATTTGTCACCGACAGCGTCCAGTTACAGTATTGACATTCCCTACACCTGTCAACATTGGTCATCTAATACAGGTTATTGAACAGGATGAAAATGTGAGTACTTTATATGTTGATAAGGGAGCCTCAAGCATACTTGTAAATTCTGACATTATTCAGGAGGGAGACTTCCATTTTTGGACCCTTGAATTTAGTATTTCCTACCAGTGAATTTGCTAAACTATTGCTTTATTCTGAGATCTAACGATTTCATGTGCAAGAACAACTCCAAATGTCAATTTAAAGGATTATTTGTCTCTAATAGGTATATACACATATTTTATTTATGGTTATTATTTTGAGCATGCAGAGTCTCCCCCATGGAAATTTTAAAAGGGTTGGCAGTGTGCTCAAGGGTCTAAATCTGTATGTGATATAAAATGGTACTTGAACACAAATAAAGCTGTGAGAGTCCAGAGCAAGTTTCTGAAATTACATGTTTTAATCAAAAATATCTTTTCAATCATGGTAGCCATATTGAATGTTTTGCAATAAAAGATGATCACAGCTGTTAGATTGCCATCTTATATACCCCCTCTTGCCATGATAATAGGTCACTATATTGTTTAAGTGTCAGCAAAACTGGTCTAATAGAACTTGAATGTTTTAAGCTTGACATATATAGGTTTCCAGGATGGCAGTCTTGGCAGCCCTCCTGGATTTAGTTTGACTCAAATAAAAAATTGCATGAGAGCATAAAGCACAAAATGAAAAAAAATATTCACAATCAAGGAATTAACTAATTGAAGTTATTGACACAATGAAGTTACTAACTGGTTGGTGTTGAAAGGTTTGAATAAAATGCAAAAGGTAATCATTCACTACAAGTAATCACTTTATATGACACAAAGTACTTTGTCCAGTCTCTTCAGGAATTTCCTTAAAATGAAGTAAATTCCCTGATGAAGTATATATTTGTGTCTGGTTTACGGTTCAACCTTGACTGGTTATATATTTGTGTCTGGTTTACGGTTCTGAGGGGTTACCTTGACTGGTTATATATTTGTGTCTGTTTTACGGTTCTGAGGGGCTATCTTGACTGGTTATATATTTGTGTCTGGTTTACGGTTCCGAGGGGTTACCTTGACTGGTTATATATTTGTGTCTGGTTTACGGTTCTGAGGGGTTACCTTGACTGGTTATATATTTGTGTCTGGTTTACGGTTCTGAGGGGTTACCTTGACTGGTTATATATTTGTGTCTGGTTTACGGTTCTGAGGGGTTACCTTGACTGGTTATATATTTGTGTCTGGTTTACGGTTCTGAGGGGTTACCTTGACTGGTTATATATTTGTGTCTGGTTTACGGTTCTGAGGGGTTACCTTGACTGGTTATATATTTGTGTCTGGTTTACGGTTCTGAGGGGTTACCTTGACTGGTTATATATTTGTGTCTGGTTTACGGTTCTGAGGGGTTACCTTGACTGGTTATATATTTGTGTCTGGTTTACGGTTCTGAGGGGTTACCTTGACTGGTTATATATTTGTGTCTGGTTTACGGTTCTGAGGGGTTACCTTGACTGGTTATATATTTGTGTCTGGTTTACGGTTCTGAGGGGTTACCTTGACTGGTTATATATTTGTGTCTGGTTTACGGTTCTGAGGGGTTACCTTGACTGGTTATATATTTGTGTCTGGTTTACGGTTCTGAGGGGTTACCTTGACTGGTTATATATTTGTGTCTGGTTTACGGTTCTGAGGGGTTACCTTGACTGGTTATATATTTGTGTCTGGTTTACGGTTCTGAGGGGTTACCTTGACTGGTTATATATTTGTGTCTGGTTTACGGTTCTGAGGGGTTACCTTGACTGGTTATATATTTGTGTCTGGTTTACGGTTCTGAGGGGTTACCTTGACTGGTTATATATTTGTGTCTGGTTTACGGTTCTGAGGGGTTACCTTGACTGGTTATATATTTGTGTCTGGTTTACGGTTCTGAGGGGTTACCTTGACTGGTTATATATTTGTGTCTGGTTTACGGTTCTGAGGGGTTACCTTGACTGGTTATATATTTGTGTCTGGTTTACGGTTCTGAGGGGTTACCTTGACTGGTTATATATTTGTGTCTGGTTTACGGTTCTGAGGGGTTACCTTGACTGGTTATATATTTGTGTCTGGTTTACGGTTCTGAGGGGTTACCTTGACTGGTTATATATTTGTGTCTGGTTTACGGTTCTGAGGGGTTACCTTGACTGGTTATATATTTGTGTCTGGTTTACGGTTCTGAGGGGTTACCTTGACTGGTTATATATTTGTGTCTGGTTTACGGTTCTGAGGGGTTACCTTGACTGGTTATATATTTGTGTCTGGTTTACGGTTCTGAGGGGTTACCTTGACTGGTTATATATTTGTGTCTGGTTTACGGTTCTGAGGGGTTACCTTGACTGGTTATATATTTGTGTCTGGTTTACGGTTCTGAGGGGTTACCTTGACTGGTTATATATTTGTGTCTGGTTTACGGTTCTGAGGGGTTACCTTGACTGGTTATATATTTGTGTCTGGTTTACGGTTCTGAGGGGTTACCTTGACTGGTTATATATTTGTGTCTGGTTTACGGTTCTGAGGGGTTACCTTGACTGGTTATATATTTGTGTCTGGTTTACGGTTCTGAGGGGTTACCTTGACTGGTTATATATTTGTGTCTGGTTTACGGTTCTGAGGGGTTACCTTGACTGGTTATATATTTGTGTCTGGTTTACGGTTCTGAGGGGTTACCTTGACTGGTTATATATTTGTGTCTGGTTTACGGTTCTGAGGGGTTACCTTGACTGGTTATATATTTGTGTCTGGTTTACGGTTCTGAGGGGTTACCTTGACTGGTTATATATTTGTGTCTGGTTTACGGTTCTGAGGGGTTACCTTGACTGGTTATATATTTGTGTCTGGTTTACGGTTCTGAGGGGTTACCTTGACTGGTTATATATTTGTGTCTGGTTTACGGTTCTGAGGGGTTACCTTGACTGGTTATATATTTGTGTCTGGTTTACGGTTCTGAGGGGTTACCTTGACTGGTTATATATTTGTGTCTGGTTTACGGTTCTGAGGGGTTACCTTGACTGGTTATATATTTGTGTCTGGTTTACGGTTCTGAGGGGTTACCTTGACTGGTTATATATTTGTGTCTGGTTTACGGTTCTGAGGGGTTACCTTGACTGGTTATATATTTGTGTCTGGTTTACGGTTCTGAGGGGTTACCTTGACTGGTTATATATTTGTGTCTGGTTTACGGTTCTGAGGGGTTACCTTGACTGGTTATATATTTGTGTCTGTTTTACGGTTCTGAGGGGTTACCTTGACTGGTTATATATTTGTGTCTGGTTTATGGTTTTGAGGTCTAATTTTATGTTTGTATCTGGTCTACAGGTACAGGAGGTGTTAAGAAGTTACCCTGTTCCACACAGGTTAGATTGGGAAGAATTCCTGACCAGGGAGAATGTTGGGATCATTTACCACAACACAACAGTTGAACTAGTTCTCCACTAGTTACCTATCCTGGAGAGAGACCATATGTACAATGATGTTATCAATTATAATTAGATGTTTATGGATTGGTTTGCTTTGGGTTTATTATCATGTGGTCATCTTTCAAAATCTTCAGCATTATCTTAATCAATTATAATGTAATATACGGAAGTTAACCTTTATAATATTCTTGTGCATAATTATATAACACTGTACAGGTGTATAGGTCTGTATTGCAATTGACCTGGCCTCGATCTGAAAATGCAACATTTTTTATTACAAATTTATAAGCTGCTATTTCTTGTTTATATGTATTAATCTTTTATATGCAATTTTAAATGTTTAAATGGCACATTTAGTTTGAATTTATTTATTACATAATAGGTTTTTTCTTAATTTATAACAGCATACAAATTTTTACCTTTATATAAACAAGAGATTTGGCCAAATGCTTTGCCGTACGACAATGTGGACCACGATCAGTCACATTTATTTATAAAACAAATACTTTGTTACTAGTTATAATACCATAGTATTGGCTTGTTCACCAAGTCCTGCTAAAATTTCTTTTGTTTTATCTAATTTATCTTTGCCATTTTTCTCTATTGGCTTGAAAAAAGTTTGTCAATTTCCCCATTTTATGAAGATGCTACAAAGCAGTATTGAGTGTTTATTCTCAGAGCAATGAAGAATTTACTGCATTTAACAATGTATGTCTGATTATGAAAATAATGGGTTGCATCAAAGTGAACAGTTTCAAACTGGACAAAACTTACTGTTAATCAATTAGGGACGCTTGATCCTGCTTGTTCCTATTCCAATAGAAGTGTTATTTCCACCATTTGCATAATTGAGTACATAATGTAATTCATTAGCAATTCTTCTGTTTTGTTTACTGCTATATACATGTATTTATCACATAATGTACTGTGTTATCCAGTGAATATATACCCATGTCATATTTTTTTGCGTTTTAACCCATGTAATATGACCTATCAGCCCTGTGATTGGTTGTAAGTTTCGATTGTTTTAATTGTGATGTCACGCCTAGGACAAGTACATGACGTCACAGACTTACGCACTGGAGTCAAAATGGCGGCTTTTTGCATATCAAGGTTGCATGGAAATTGTCGTTTTACACGAATAAAGCCACAAATCTTGATTATGTGATAAAAAGGATCTTACACTCGTTTTCATTTCATATGAAATTCATGAAACTTGTCACAAATTTTTCAATTTAGCTCGCCAGAGGCTTGTTAAATTGAAAAATTCTTAGACTCGTTTCATAAATCTCATATGACATGTAAACTCTTGTAAGATCCTATGTATGTAAAATATAAAATTGTTTTTATTGGATTTGTATAAAAAATGAAATGCTTATATGGAGTATGCCTCAGGTTACATTTACTTTAGGTGTTTTACCAAGTAGATATAACATATTTAGGGGAAGGTTGTCCAGCATGACTCACATTATAGATTTTTTTTGTCTTACCAATATTTTTCAAGTGTTTCATCATTTTAGTTAAAAATTAAGGTCCTGATCCCATTGACCTTTAATTGAGACCACAAAGTTGACAACATAAGAAATATGTTATCATTAATTGATGGGGGCCTTTATATTTTATACACTTTGTATAGAAAAATATACATATTATTACACTAATCACCTGTCACTTTGTATAAACACAACTTTGTATATATACAACAAGAGATCCTAACGGGATTTTAGTGCCCACCATCGTCTTCATTAGTTCAGTGTCACTTAAATCTTTTCTCTTCTTTACTTTTATCTGTTTGATCAGTTTGCCTGGTAGCCAACTTAGTCTTCTGATCAGTCTCAAAAGTTATCATGTGCAACTAAGGACCAAGACTGTCCTAGCTGGAACCTGCATATCACATTTGAGAAAGATCCCTCCAATGCTTTCTGAGAAATAGCGATAACAAACTTAAACAGTATCAAGATGGCGGACAGGTCGCCATCTTGGTTTTCAGATAAGTCCATAACTTAAAACCAAGAGGAACCTTCGTATGAAATTTGAAAAAGATCTCTCCAAAAACTTTTTTGAGAAATAGTGCAAGTTATGTTTAACTCCTAAATTCAATATGGCCACCTGTTGGCCATCCTGATTTTCCAATCAGCCCCAAAATTCAAAATGCATAACTAAATGTAGGAACCATGGGGAACCTTCATGTGAAATTGAGAAAGATCCTTCGTGTAAATTCTGAAAAAAAGCATGAACTATCTTTTATTCTCAAATTCAATATGGACACTTGCAGGCCAATTGCAGGCCATCTTAGTTTTCCAGTCAGCCCCAAAATTTTAAATGCATTAAAAAGGGCCATCGGAACCTTCAAGTGCAATTTGAGAAAGATCCCTCAAGTACTTTCTGAGAAAAAGCGGTAAGAACAATTGTTTAAGGATGGAGGGAATGACAGACGAACCATGCATGGACCAAGGACTAAGGGTGATTTGAATAGCCCACCATCTAAATCTGCTGATGGTGGGCTAAAAATGTATAATGTTTTATATTTAATAAAATGTAACAATAACCAGTGATTATCAAAATTTGAATGTGCTTGAACAGACAGGAAACATGTCCTTATTATTTCCGTGACAACATTCCAAACAAAGGCGAGCCTAAACAAAGGTCATTCGTCTCGGAACATGTGACTTTAATCAAGTGATGTCTAATAAGGAAATCATATTACTGCTATCAGTTCAGGTGTGAGTCATGATTGGGACCTTCATGCTGATACATAAAACAAATCAAAGTACTGAAAGTACTGAAAGCTAAGGCAAAAGATATATATATTATTTTTGGAATGGAGAACAAAATAAAGACGAAGTTCCCATCATATTGTACAGAAGGATTTACTGTTAATTTGTTATGAATCAAAGTTTTATGTAAAAGTGTACCACTGTGAAGTTATTCTTCTTGTGTGTACAGTATATCTTTATAGGTTTGTCAGAAGAGTGGTACCAAGTTTCCTCTAGAATATATCATTTTAAACCTTTGGATAATTAATTTGCATAGGAATTTGGAATTGCTTCCCTTTGTCCATACAATGTATTTCATAGAACATTAAAAACTGAAACTGGCATTTACCCCTTTGACCAATACCTGATTATTTTAAACCATTGAATAGATTATGCACAGATTGTGAACATCTTTGAACTTTGCCTTTGTTGTTGAATAAGATATCAACCCTTGCCTTATCTAACAAAGTTACTTGGCATAAAACCATTGACCAATCAGAGTACAGTATGCTAATTAATTAGGCATGGATTTCACTCAACTTTGAACTTATCGTCTAAGTTTGTATATTGATCAATATATATTCAAGCAAGTTATCTTGTAAAGTGTGCACATCGACCAGGGTTGGCATGCTTTTTAATACGTGTGAATTTTGTTCAAGTTTCAATTTTGCATCAGTCAGTGTATATTGTTACAGAACAATATTTATAAGGATGTTTACTTGCCGAAACTAAATTGTGGATAAGCAAGTGGATTACTGCTACCCATAAATTTACAAGTCTCTCAATAATTTTGAAAAACTTTTAAATAAAGTGTTTTACATATTCACTGCAGTGAAAAGGTCTCTTCTTATGAAAAATGGAACTATTTTGAATCTGTGTTCCCATGAACAAATAATATAAAAAGCACTCTAATTCAATATGATACATTGTTGTATGTTTCAATATTGAATAAGATAAACAAAATATAAACATACATACTCACACACACACACAAGATTAGGAGAGTTACATTATTTTCCCTCTATTTCCATTGCATAAATTCTTCACAAAGAAAACAACAACTTTATAGCATATGTTCAGCTTTATCATCTTCATAGGCTAGCATTTGAAATAAGATGCACATATTAATTTCAAATACATTTCAAAAGAGTACTGCAAATGTACCAGCTAGAACACATACTATGTTATTACAGTTGTCATGATTGTTGGTTTCAGAACTGATAGCATTGTGCAACAAATGTTGACAACAGGACTTATTGAAAGTTGAGGTTGCTTGTGTATATGCAAACAGGTAGTGCATGATTTAATGTTGAGAATGATGGATCAAGGTTTATAAAATTTGGTTTGAATACTTAGTTAGGAATGCACTGACAATTTCTCTGTCACATGTACATGAACAGGTTGTGAAGCTGTAGCCTTCACCTTGACTGAATGAAATTGACCTTAAAACTGTCTTGAACAATTGATGTATGAAATTTAGAAATGAAGTTTCAAGAAATATGGTTGAAAACTTAAGAAATAATTGCTTTCATTGACATTGATACAATCTTGTGTGCTATCCCTCTCATATATCACACAAGATTTAATATCAAATGTTGGACACAGTAAAATCGAGCGAAGTTAACAAATATCAAGTTACATATTATAACTTTTATTTTATTTTATTGATATTGATCATAAGCATTGTTAAAAGTACAATGTATACCAGGGATCTTACATTTCTTTTACTACTTAACATTTGCGTTGACTTTTAATTCATTGGACAAAAACTAAAAGGAAGCCATGACCAGTATTTCTATCTTTAAAAACATACTTTTAATTTTTTTTCCAATTTGCTCCCACCACCCATAGTGTTATATTGATCAAAACAAACGTTGTTTCCAACATTTGTGCCCTTAGTCAGTAGTGGGTGTTCAATCACATTCATCAGGGTTTCAGCATCAAGTAGGGGCTGTTCAATCACATTCATCAGGCTTTCAGCATCAATATTCACAGATTCAATCTGTTCCAAGTAAAGATCACTGACTTCTCCATTAAGGAAAAGTTTGCGAGGAAAGCATTTGAACTACATTTGAACTATTCGCTGATGGAAGGATCTGTGGACTCGGCTTTCATGTGTCTGAGAGAAAATGATTTAGTCAGAGGTTCCTCCTCTATAAAGTAACTGACAGATTTCAAAATGTCATGTCACTGTTGGTATAGTTCTTGCAGCCTTTTGAAAAAGTTCATGAAGTCCTCAAAGGTATGAGAGAGTTGGTACAGTTCCTATTTCTCATCCTCCTTTCTCCCATCAATAACCATCCCTGTCTGTTGTAATATTGATTGCTTTCCCCCCCTAAAATAGAACATAGTTACCATATAATTTCTGCACCAGCAATAATGTTTAGAGATGATATTCAAACAAATAGGAGGCATAGCAATATGAGCTTGTATAGTGAGAAATAAGGCATTAAAGCTGAGGAGTTCATTAAAATGTTTCAAAAACATTTCAATAAGTCAATCTCTTTGGTAGCAGAACTAAATATAAACAAAATGTACATTAAATTCAACTTATAACAGCACATCATATGGGGGCTTAAGACAT